TTGGTACAATTTTTTTTTGGTACAATAAAAAGCCAAAATTTTAAACACATTAAAGGTAATGAGGTCATTTCTTCAACCACCCATATCAGTGGGACCCACCCATGCCAACACATTAAGCAGACCAGGTGTAATCTCTCTCTCTCTCACACACACACAAATTGGGACTCACGACGACCGACACCATTCTCGTTGCCAACCTCCACGGGCGCTACTTCCACTGTCGTACACGCCCAACACAACGTCGTGGCACCTCGATTTCGTCAGTCATATGCTATCGGAGGGCGGGGACGCCCAGCGCAAGCGGCTGCACCTGACGGTCGGTGCTGCACCGGCAGACACACACACAGTTCGATACACATACTTCTCGAGTCCGTTGCCATTTTCTTTTTTTTTTTTTCGGACCAAACTTTTGTCGCGACGACCTCCACCCAGAGAGGCTCATCACCGCCGCCCCTCTGCCATATCCGAGCATCCCGCCAGTGACATTCATCACAAAAGTCTTGTAGTCTCCATGCACAAAAACACACACAGCGGCTGATGGCGGTTGCAACCACAACAGTCGGGTCGGCTTATACGACAGGGATGGAGTGGTGAGGCAGTGGGACGCGACAGCACCATGGAAGGGGCTTGATGGTGGGCTTAGATTTGTAAATTAGATAAAACTTAATGACTTGACTGCAATTTTAGATAATTTAACTATATTTCAATTTAGTTAATGGGCCAAATTTATTATTTATAAAAAAATATATTAAATAATATTATTTTATATATACTTTTTATACACATATATTATGTATTTTAAACCAAAAGTAATATAAAATATTAAATAAAAAATATTAAAATCCTAAATATAAATTATTATAAATTAATTATTTTGATTATTTAATTTACACGTTATATATAAATAAAAAATATTAAAACATTGAATATATTTTTATAAAATTAGTTGCACCTTGAGTGGACGTTGGTGGTAGTCAGCTTGCACATTAGTGACTAACAGATAACCAGACAAAGTTTTGGATTCAAATTTTATACTTTGGGTCAATTTTCTTTCATTTTTTATTTTTTTACTTTTAAAATTTTTGTTATCTTAGTTCGATGTCATCGTTATTCTTTTAAATAACCGTTCGATCGAACTGTATAAAAAATGTTATACTGTTATATGAATGTATATAATATTTAGGTATTTACAAAAAACAATAATAAAGAATATTTAAATACTAAATATATTTTTATAATATAAATTATAAATTATTTAGATTATTTAGGTTAATTCAGTTAATGGATCAACTAAACCGATTATTTCAGCTTTACTTTGATTTGAGATAAATCATTAAAAATTGTAGTTCAAGGGCACATTAGTGATAGATGGATTGCACATTAGTAACTGTCGAATTGCAATGTAACGATGAAAAATTGTTAGAACTAAATTAGTTGAGAATGCACGTGCTATGACTGCACGAGAGTGTTAGACGAAATACACATTAATGGCTATTTTATTGCACAAGTAGCGACCGGAATTAAACAAATTAAAATTTTGATTTGAAATTTTATATTCAGTTGGATTATCTAATATCATTTTTTTCGGGTTGATGTCGTTTTTTTAAGTTTATTATAACCGAGCTAACTGAACTATATAAAAATACAATTTATATATATATTTTTAAATTAATATTTTTCCAGTAAAAAAATATATATGATATTAAATATAACAATAGAAAACTGAATACTATTTTTTTAATATAATTAATATTTTATTTCAAATATTTTTGGTTAATATAGCTAACCAACCAAAAAAAAAAAAAAAGTAATCCGCGCCAATTTTAATTTGATTTGGAACAAAAGTTTGATTGGTTCTAATTGTAGAGTAACTACAGAAACCGTGCACAATAGTGTAAGCCGAATTGAACATTATTGACTGATGGGTTGCACTACAACCTTGGAGGGCTCAGCGTCCTCGCTGGCACATCGATCCGGATACTGGCTCTGATACCAATGTAACAACGATATTGTCAGCTTTGGGTATACACCAGATCATTCCCTGACGGTTTTGCCTTTGGGAGGTGAGCACGCGTCCTACTAGTGAAGGTATCCACAACCACTTATAAGGCATGTTTCGTTCCCCTTCACAACCGATGTGGGATATCTGGATCCACCCCCCTTGGAGGGCCTAGCGTCCTCGCTGGCACATCGATCCGGGTACTGGCTCTAATACCAATGTAACAGCCTAGTCATCACGTAGTAGGATATTGTCCGCTTTGGGTATATACCAGATCATTTCCTCACGGTTTTGCCTTTAGGACCTAGCTC